TGAAGTATGAGAAGTTACCTGACGATCTGCGAAAGAGAGTTGATGTGCGGCGGCGATCACCTCGCTTTATCTATTACAAAGGCACTCTCTATCGACGATCCTTTGATGGAGTCTTTTTGAGATGTTTGGGAGATGATGAAGCGATTCAAGCTATGGAGGAAGCTCATTCTGGAATTTGTGGTGCTCATCAATCAGGCCCGAAGCTACATTTTCGGATCAAGAGAATGGGGTACTATTGGCCGACGATGGTTAAAGATTGTATGGACTATGCCCAAAGATGTCAGCCATGTCAGTTTCATGCAAACTTCATTCACCAATCACCTGAGCCGTTACATCCCACTGTTGCTTCATGGCCATTTGATGCGTGGGGTCTTGATGTGGTTGGACCTATGACAAAGTCTTCTGGTGGTCACCTATATATTTTGGCTGCAACGGATTATTTCTCTAAGTGGGCTGAAGCAGTGCCTCTCAAAGAAGTGAAGAAAGAAAATGTCGCTGATTTCATCCGCCTTAATATTATCTATCGGTATGGAATCCCTCGATATATAATAACGGATAATGGAAAGCCGTTTTCAAACAGCCATATTGACAAGCTTTGTGAAATCAAAGTGAGTGGACTCCCTCAGGAACTGTATTTGTCTCCAGGACCCCCAGCTGATTATGATACCGAGTATGGTTGCCCCAATAACCTGCCCTGGACCCCAGCTGACTATAGCCGAGCTGTTGAGCAAGCGAAAAAGTTAGGGCTGCGCTTCACTGCGCCTGACCTAACGGTGAAAATGGGTTCGAGTTGGTGGCTCTATCGTCCGAACAATGCTGTTGCAAACTTCAGTCTGACCTGCCCCTACCCCGAAGAGAATTTCACTGAGAACACCGTCACATTGGCGACTCTGTTCACCATTAATGTGGACGGCACGTTCTACAACCCGATCATCGATCCAGCTGACCTTGGTGACATTAACTATGGCTCCATGCTGCTTCGTCCTCCCCGCGGGATTGCTGTCAATACAAAATTTGGTTTCAAGCAACGAAAGTCCTCTATGTATAATGCTGCGGCTAATGGAC